ACTCTGGGGTTTGCTGTTATGAGCCAGCTGACTTCCCCAATGTTGGGAGTTAGGGCCACACACGTCTGTACCCAACTTTTTTTTTTTTTTTTTTTTTGGTTTTTCGAGACAGGGTTTCTCTGTGGCTTTGGAGGCTGCCCTGGAACTAACTCTTATAGACCAGGCTGGTCTCGAACTCACAAAGATCCGCCTGCCTCTGCCCGGCTGTACCCAACTTTTTATATGGGTGATGAAGATCCAAACTCAGGTGCTAACTTTACCATCTCCCCAGACCCAGAAAGCTTTGCTTTAAAAAAAAAAGAAGTTGATTATGTGTATGGGTGTTTTCCCTACATGGGAGTCTCTGTATCGTGTGTACCTGGTGCCTTTGGTGGCCAGAAGAAGACCAATCCCATGAACCTGAAGTGACAGATGGTTGTGGGTGTTGGGAGTCTAACCCAGGTCCTCTGAAAGAGTACAGAGTGTTCTTAGTCACTGAGCCATTTCTCCAGTCCCGAGCTTTGCTTTTTTTTTTTAATATTTATTATGTATACAGTGTTCTGCCTCCATGTATCCCTGCAGGTCAGAAGAGAGCATCAGATCTCATTACAGATGGTTGTGAGCCAACATATGGTTGCTGGGAATTGAACTCAGGACCTCTGGAAGAGTAACCAGTGCTCTTAACCGCTGAACCATCTCTCCAGCCCAAGCTTTGCTTTTTGACATTCTCAAACTACTTGATTTTCCCAACTGGTAGACTCCACCCCAGCAGAACCCTCTCAGCCATGCAGTTCCTAGCAAGGGCCAGAATCTGATCTGGGTTCAATGGCGGGAGACCACAATGATGGGCTGGTGGGATGCTGGTCAGGCTGGGGAGCTGCGATCACCTGGATTTACAGATAGATTTCCTGGGGCGGAGCTGCCTACTCTCCCTGCTGTGCTGAAACCATTCTTGATTTTTTTCTGATTGACCAGACATTGCCCTTGAAGAGGTGGTACTGCTCACTAGCTTTCTGAGTTGGGGGGTTGGGTACAGTAGAAGGTTCTGCATTTATGGGGATCCATTCCAAAAGCCAGGCTGCAATCAACACACATCTTCTAGAATGGGAAGAAAGCAGTCTTCCGTTTCCTCCCCTCTGCTGGCTCAGGCGATCTGATTTCTCTGCGCTCACCCTCCTCACTTTCACTTCCGTCCTATTTCTGCCCTTCTGGCTAATTTTGCATTTCTCATGGAGGCCGGGCTGGGCTGGCCAACTTAATGAGCCTCCTCGACTTGCCAGCAGATAAATGGTATGCCATTAGCCGCCTGTTTAACGGCCATATTTCTTCTTCGGGATGAGGGCTCAATATCTCTCGCATGAAATATGGCCTGAGGAGCTTCCCAGTCCCCAATGTGAAGTGCTGAGCGATTACTCAGCGGTGACTCCAGAGCTTGGCAGCTCATGACAGCTGCCTCTTCCGGCTCATCTCCTTGGGTTGGATGGAAATGGGGGCCTGAGGCAGGCTTCCATTTTCCCCGAGACTGATGTCTTCTCCCTGGCCTCCTTCCCCCCACTTTGGTTTTCCGTGTAGTTCAGTCCTCCAGCATCCCCATCCCGTCCTTGTCTGCAGTCCTTACTCCTTCCCCTCTGAGAGGCGAGGAAGGGTCTCCCACGGCCGACTACGCTGTGATCCGTGGTTCCCAGGGCCGGAAGAGATGAATGTGTTGTGTCCAGGGTGTGACTTTCTGGGGCCACCTCCCAAATCACACCCCACTCCACTCCAAGCTGGTTTTTCTCTGATCAAATACAGACACATCTCGAAGAGTCCTTGTGAAGAGCAGGCTGAGGGTGAGGCAGGACTCACGGTGGAGAGCTGGCTGGATGACGAGAGAGGAATCCTCAAGGCCAGCCTGGGCTAAGCAGAGAGATCCTGTCTCAAAAAGGAAGTAGGAGGAGGAGGAAGAGAAGGAAGGGGAGGAGGAAGAGGAAGAAGAAAAAGAGGAAGAGGAAGTGGGGAAGCATCAGAACCTCTGTCCTGTGCCCAGAATAGAACCAGGACACTGTTTGATGTCTCGTGCCTGCAGGGGTTGAGAAGGCCAATCATGAAGGCAACAGGAAACTGGTCCTGAGCCTTCCTCCTCCAGAGCCTTGGCAGGAGTGGATGTGAAATTTCCCTACAGAGATAGTTTTGCAAGCACAGACATGCTGCACCCTTGCAGGGCAAGGGCAAACACTTTAAATACAGACTCCCAACCAGAAATACGATAAAGGCGTGAAAGGAAAAACAGAACACCCAAGCGTGGCTTTACAACATTCCTGTATTTGTGTGCGTGTGTTCACAAACACAACGTGCTTGCTGGGGACGGACGGGGGAAGGGGGGGCTCAGAGGACAACTTGTGGGAGTTGGTTCTCTTTCTTCCATTCAGGCCGCCATTTGGTGGCAGAAGCACCTTTACAGGCTGCGTTGTCACACCAGCCTCCAAGCATGGCTTGAAGGGGGTCCCTAAAATGATGTGGGCACCAAGGAAGGTGCTGGAAAACAAATGGAAAAACAAACACGAAATCCCAAAGCCCCAAACCCGACCACGAGGACCTAACAGTTGCTGTGACGGTGAGTTTCGTCAGCTTGACACAATCCAGAGTCTCAAAGCTGGATTGACCAATCAGGTGGTCTGTGGGGGTTGCCTTGATTCTGGCACAGCCAAAATGTGGGCAGAGCCATGCACTGGGTTCGGGCCAGAACAAAGAAAGGAGAAAGCCAGCCGAGAGGAAGCATTCTCTCTCTGCTTTTATAAGTATTGAAATAATAAACAAATAAAGCTTATGAGACATCAAAGGGTGAGGGAAATAGGAGAAGTCGTCCAAACTGCATGCAGCATGGCGACAAAAAGATGAGCAATATGCAGCTGGTGGGAGACGGCTCAGTGGTTAAGAGCCCTGACCACTCTTCCAGAGGACCTGGGTTCAATTCCCAGCAACCACATGGTAGCTCCCAACTGTGTAACTCCAGTTCTGGGGGATCTAGTGCCTTCTAGTGTGGGAACCAGGCATGAATGTGGTGCACAGACATACATAATATTTCTAATATTTCAATTACTTTAACACCATGATCATCATAATATTTAAATATGCAAATGCAAGAGTATGATAAATCTGGAAGACAGGTTAAGCAGTTTGAACACACACAGGGTTGGAAGAGAGTAAAGGCAGTTCAGGCTGGTGGGAGGGCTCAGTAGGCAAAGGTGCTTTTCTGCCAAGTCTGATGACCTAAGTCTGGGGCCCACAGGACGAGGGAGAGGACTGACTCCAGCAAGTTGTCCTCTCATCTCCACACGCGTGCTACGGCGTGTGCGTGGTTGCGTGCATGTGTGTGTGTGTGTGTGTGTGTGTGTGTGTGTGTGTACCCACACAACCTTCATCAGTAAATTAAAAGCACCGAAGGCAATGAAGAAGGGGCAAATTCAACCTGCAAATATGACCAGAGGTTTCTTTCTTTTTCTTTTTTTTTTTTTGGTTTTTCGAGACAGGGTTTCTCTGTGGCTTTGGAGGCTGTCCTGGAACTCGCTCTGTAGACCAGGCTGGCCTCGAACTCACAGAGATCCGCCTGCCTCTGCCTCCCAAGTGCTGGGATTAAAGGCATGAGCTACCACCGCCTGGCTTGTTTTGCTTTTTATTTTATTTATTTATTTTTTTAGACAGGGTTTCTCTGTGTAGCCCTGGCTGTCCTGGAACTCGCTCTGTAGACCAGGCTGGCCTCGAACTCAGATCTGCCTGCCTCTGCCTCCCTAGTGCTGGGATTAAATGTGTGTACCACCACCGTCCTGTGCCTAGTTTGGTTTCTGTTGCTGTGATAAACACCATCAACAAAATCAACCTGGGGAGGAGAGGGTTTATTTAGCTGACAGGTGATAGTCCATCATTAAAGGAGGAACTTGGGGCAGGATCTCAAGTCAAGAACCTGGGGGCAGAAACTAAAGCAGAGATCATGACAGAACGCTGCCTCCTGGCTTGCATCCAACCTTTCTTAGACAGCCCAGGCCCACTGGCCTAGGGACGGTACCACCCACCATGGGTTTGTCTGCCTGTATCAATCCATCATTGAGAGAGTGCTCCACAGACAAGTTCACAGCCCCGTCTGGTGGTGACACCTCCTCTGTGACGCTTCCTCTTCTCAGGTGTGTCAAGGTGACAACTAAGTTGAGCCAACAGCACAGAAAGGTTGTGTTGGGAAGACATTGCCCCAGGCAAATGCCACAGGATAGATATCAAGACCAGGCAAAGGGTTACTGAGGTAATAGCGGGGCTGGTGAGGTGGTTCAGTGACACCCCCCCCCCCAAAGCCAGGAACTAGGTCGACCTTTTCTCCTCATAGACGACCATCTCTCTGTTCCGGTGACTCACACAGCTCACAGAGGGAGTCTCAGTAAACACTGGAGAGCTCTCCTGGGGAAGACTCCCTCCTCCAGCCTGAATAATCAAGCAAGGAATCCACACACTTGGAAGTCTAAACGAGTACTTCTAAGTAGTTCGGAAGATGAATCATAATTTTAAAAACATCAAATATTTTGAAGTAAATGACAGCGAGCAAAAGTGCATACCAAACAGGGTAAAACTAACATAGCAGCCTCGAAATTTAAAACACACACTGGTCGGACATGGTGGCACAGGACTTTAATCCCAGCACTCGGGAGGCAGACAGCTCTCTGTGACACATTGAAGATCTGGTCTACATAGTGAGTTCCAGGACAGCCAAGGTTAGAAAGTGAGAAGACTGTCTCAAAAATAAAAGTAAAAAAAAAAATCCCACTCGCTGCACTGCTTGGTTTTGTCTGACAACTTGACACAAGCTGGAGTCATCAGAGAGGAAGGAGCCTCAGCTGAGAAAATGCCTCCATGAGATCCAGATGTAAGGCATTTCTCAATTAGTGATCAATGAGGGAGGGCCCAGTCCATGGTGGGTGGTGCCATCCCTGGGCTAGTGGTCCTGGGTTCTATAAGAAAGCAGGCTGAGCAAGCCACGAGGAACAAGCCAGTAAACAGTTTCCCTCCATGGCCTCTGCATCAGCTCCTGCCTCCAGGTTCCTGCCCTGCTTGAGCTCCTGTCCTGACTTCTCTCGGGGATGAAGGGAAATATGAAAGTGTGGCCAAGTAAACCCTTTCCTCTCCAACTCGCTTTTTGGTCATGGTGTTTTGTTGAAGCAATAAGAACCTTAACTAAGACAGGTGGGTACCAGGACTGGGGTATTGCTGTGACAGACCTGACCACATTTGGACCGTGGAAGAACTTTGAAGCTTTGGCCTAGAAGAGCCATTGAGTGTCGAGAGCTCAGTGGGATGTTCTGTGGGAACTTGAAGATAAGAATGTTGATAGCAGTGCAGAGAATGGAGGCCTGGCTTGACAAAATTTCAGAGAGAAGTTGAAAGACTCTGTCGGGGTCATTTGTTACTTTGAATTAAGATCCTGTGGTTATGGTTAGCGGGGGGGGGGGGGTCTGAAGATGGTTATCTGTGATTAACAAGATACCAGAGCTACTAGCTTTGCTTTGCTGGGATACTTGATGCTGGTCAGGTGAAACTAGAAAATTAGCAGTGAGTAAGAAGAGACCAGACAGAGAGAGGGGGGAGGGGGGAGGGAGAGAGGGGCAGGGAGGGGGAGGGGGAGAGAGAGGTTCATTCCATAAGTTCTGTGGCTCTAGAGAACCCTGACTACAGATGAGTGTGGTGGGAAACCCTGCCTTGAAAAACAAACAAACAAAAGACATTTTTAAAGCAGTTGAAATGACCAGATGTGTACATAATAGAAACGATTGAAAACTGCCTGGAGAGGGAGCTCCGTGGGTAAGGTGTTTACCTCAACCCAGTCCCTAAGGCCCAAGTTTAAAGACAAAACGTGCCAGCCTGTTGGCGTATGCTTGCAATCCCAGGCCTGGGGAGGTGGAGATAGGTGGTTCCCTTGGGAGTGTCTGGTCAGTCAGCCTGCTTGGTGAGTTCCAGGCCAGAGAGAGAGAGAGAGAGAGAGAGAGAGAGAGAGAGAGAGAGACTGCCTCAACAGATAAGATGGGCAAGGCCTACAGGACGATGGCCACGTTGCCCTCTGGTTCCCAGATTCACAGCATACATGCGCATGTACACTGTGTGCACACGCCAACACACAAAGGCGTTTCCACAAGTCCTAGAACGTTTAGGCTGTTAACACAAGAGCCAGTCAACTCTCGAAATATGGGAAGCTCCAGATCTGTCAGTAATAGCCAAAGACAATCTTACCCAAACCCCTCCGGTTCAGCACCTCACCAGTTGCAAACTATTCCACCAGATTTTCCTGGGGAGCATGGGGGGCTCCCCAACTCCAGCATAAGGGTGGCATAACTTAAACGCCAAAGGTAGGCAAGGGCAGGGCGTACCCATGAGTAAAACATGAACACAGGCACAGCTCCTGAATCTAAGCCACGCCTACCAAGTCTCCATGGAGACACTTCATCACAAATCCAAAGATAACCCAGAAATATAAAAAACAGTTGACACCAAAATATCTGCTACAGTAACTCACCGCAGGAAAGCAAGGGCCAGGGAGGCGGGAGGCTGAGGTAGGAGGATTTCAAGTTCCGGGACTAATTCTTATGTTTTGAAATTCTGTTCCCCTACTGCCTGCCCTCCCCATCTCCCACTGAGTGACAGTTTATCTCAGCTGCCAACTGGGTGAGTTCTAAAATCTCTTGGGAGATGGGACCCTGGGTGTGCCTGTTGGGAATTATCTTGGTTAGGTGTACTGAGGAAAAGGACACCACCACTATGGGTGGTGCCATCCTCTGGGCTTGGATCCTGGGCTGTATGAAGAGGAGAAAGCGAGCTGTGCAGTCTGCTCCCTTCCTGACTGCTGCCCCAGGCCCCTGCTGCCTCAAGCCGGGCAGCCCCACCCCACCCCCCACCTCCTACCCCCCAACCCCCCACCCCCGCTTTGAGGACTGTACCTCAAACTGAGAGCCAAGTACACACTTCCTTAATCTGGCTTTGTCTTAATCGGGTCTTTGTTTCCTGGTTGTTTTAGAATCAGGAAGAGTGACTAAGATGCTACCTGAGTGACCATGGGGAAATGGTTACTAAGATGTAAGTTACTGGTGAATTAAAGGCCTTGAGGCTGGGAGGTAGCTCAGATGGTAGATTCCCTGCCTAGCATGTATAAAGGCCTGGAATGGACCCCAGCATCCCATGAAGCAAGCACGGTGGCCCATGCCAATGATATCACCACTTGGGATTTAGAAGCAGAAGGATCAGAAGTTCAAGGTCATCCTCAGCTGCATATAGCTCAGGGCCAGGCCAGTTTGAGCTACGTGAGATCCTGCCTTAAGCAGAAATGCACAGGGGCTGGAGATGACTCAGAGGTTAAGAACACTCACCACTCTTGTAGAGGACCTGGGTTCGGTTCCCAGCATCCACATAGCTGCTCATAAATGCTTATAACTCCAGTTCCCAGGGGGTTCCGTCCAATGCTCTCTTCACACCGCCAAGAGCTCCTGCATTCGTGTGATAGAGACACAAACACACCCATAAAACAAAAATAAGAAAAGACAAAAGTTTTAAAAAGCATTTAAAAGCTTTTTCAGAAGATATGAGACTCATTCCCATTAACATAGAGGATTTTTAAGACTCAGAAACCACAATTATACAGAAATGAGCTAAATCTAGTTTACCCAAAGAGAAAGCATAAGGTAGACAAGTCACACTCAGGGAGATCTTTCAAAACCACCACACTGGTCCAGCCAGATGGCTGCCCAGGTAGAGGAACTTGTCACTTGTCACCGAACATGACAAGCCGAGTTAGACCCCTGGAGTCCATCTGGCAGAAGGAGAGAACCAACTCGCATGTGTATTTTGTTTTGTTTTTGTTTTTTACTAAATCTCGTTGGTTCCATTTTACCAATAGAGACCTGGGAGTCAGATGCTGGGGTGAAAGTCTGCTAGCTCAGAGAGGCAGAGAAAGCAGGCAGCTGACCTTCCTCCTCTGTTGACATCCCAGAAAAAAAAAATTCCTCTCTCTTCTGTCTTGTCAAACAAAACAAAACTCAAAATGGATGCCCCTTCCTTCTACTTCCTGTGTGTGTGTGTCTCTGTTCTCCTGACTCTATTTTTTTTTCTTGTTCACTTCCTGTCAACTGGTTTCTTGCTCTTCCTCTTGACCTATAGTTGACTTCATTTAATCCTGCTTGCAAAAAGCAGACTGCTCTCGGATTAAAGGTGTGGGCTAGGGCTGAGCCATGCCACAACTAGAAGCAGGTTTTTCCAGTAAAAAACAGGATCTGGGGGCTCACAGTGAGGTCAAATACCCTGCAACATTCACAAGTTGTCCTCTGATTTCCACATTTGTGCATCTTCCCCCAAATCAACCCATGTTAAAAACAATTAAAATCTGAACTGGGTGTGTTGCCACACACCTTTAATCCCAGCACTGGTGGGGATGGGCAGAGGCAAGTAGACCTCGGGCTAGCCTGGGCTACAGAGTGAGTATCCTGGCTCCAGGACAGCTAGGGCTACACAGAGAGCCTGTCTCAATAAATAAACACCCATCAGATTGCTCAGTAGCTCCTGGGTGAATGGGTAGGGCATGACAGGAAGGAGGATAGTAGGTAAATGGGTAAGAAAAGGGTGAATGGATGCATGAATGGGTGAGTGAGAATGAATGGAAGACTGGGGTAGGTGGGGGTAGATGGATAGGTGGGTGCATAGATTGGAGGATGGGTAGGAAGTTAGTGGGTGAGTGGAAGGTAGATGGGTGGTGGGAAGGTAGGTGGATGGGTGACAAGATGGATGGAAGGATGGGTGATGGGAGGATGAATGGATGGATAGATGGGTGGGTGATGAGTGGGTAGGTGAATGGGAGGATGCATGATGGATGATGAGTGGATGGATAGATGGACAGATGGACAAATGATGAGTGGTTAGATGGATAGATGGATGAGTGATGAGTGGGTAGATGCATGAGAGAATAGATGGATGGATGGATGGATGGATGGATGGATGGATGAATGGGTGATGAGTGGGTAAATGGATAGAAAGATGGATGATACAGTGGGTATAAAGAAGGGCAATAATTTAATTTTTGCCTGTCCTGGAGATAGGAAAAGACTGAATGTTTGTTACTGCTATAAAACACCGCATTAATATAAAATTTGAAGTCAGGACCCACATGACCCCAACCAAGCCTGGCGCTCAGTGTTGGGGTTGGAGGTGACTGCCATTGAAAAGATAGCTTTTCACCCACAGTTTATAGAGATGGAGCATGCACACCATGGGGTGGGAGTGGGGACACACTGGGGAAGCAACAGGTGCACCAGGCAGGGGTGGGAGAGAGAATTATGGATAAATGCCCTTACTGAGGTTTCTGAAGGAATGATGGATAAAGCCAGGGGGAAGGAGGCTTATACTAGTGATCCAAACCACTTCTGTGTGCTGGAGTCTCACGGTGATCTGGGCACCCCAGTTGTCCTGTTCCTAGGCCCAGGGTGGCCAGGGCAAGTGGATCATGATCTGATCTGGGCTGTGAGTTCGGGAGAGGATATGGGTGGGGTGTGGGGGTTAGGAATCATGCCCCAGGGGAAGGGTTCCTTGCAAGTTGTGTGTGTGTGTGTGTGTGAGAGAGAGAGAGAGACAGAGAGACAGAGAGACAGAGGGAAGGAGGGAGGGAGGCAGAAGACCACTGTAAAATGAGCTGAGCAGTCACGTGGTTCCCCGAAACAAGCTGAGTCTGGAGCTGGTATCTGCAGCCGTCGGGCAGATGTTGAAGCATCCAGTTTGCAGACCCCAGACGTGTGCTTGATCCCGTTTCACTGCGGTGTCCCCTCCCCTCCCCTTCCAGTTTTAATTGCCTTTTCTTGGTAAGCAGCTGCTCCTTCTGGAACCTTGGGAGGCAGAGGTGAGATTAAAGTGCCAGAAGCAAGGGTTTATCTTTTTTTGTGTGTGTGCACCCTACTTTTACTTACCAAGGCTCATCGGAGCCCCGCCCCCCCCAGCCCTGGGTTCTTAGCCATCACCTGCTTTGTCAGACAGAAGGACGAGGCTGTACACGATTGGCAAGCGTTCTCCCTCTGAGCTGCAGCCTTCCCTCTTGAAGCCGAGGCTTTGGGCTATTCAAACACCAGCCCAGCTGTTCCGTTCTCCACCAGGAGAGGTGCGGTGAGCTAGATGCTCTCTAGCTGCCCGCAGCACACACAGCTGCAGCGGCAGACAGACCCGACCTGGCCTCTCCAGCAACTGCTGTGTGTGGAGCTGCCTCCAGCCAGCAGGTGCCTTCTCCAAACTTTGAAGCAGGAAGAGCTCCACCCCCCCATCCCCCACCCCCGCCTAGGTTTCCATCTCCCCAGGACTGGGACCCAGCCTCTCCGTTGCTGGGGAAACACTCGCATGCTTGGCGGTCTCACTGCTAGACTTTTATTATGAAACGTTCCCACAGGCGTGCAGATTGCTCAGTCTCAGGCAGACGGTTACTGTTTTAGAAGGTGATTGACATTTTTAGGAGGTGGGGCTGGGGGGCATTGAATATTAATTACACTGGGTCCCCAGTTCCTTGTGACATCATCTCTGGTTTCTTTCTGCCTTGAGGTGCGCAGCCTCTGTCACGGGCTCCCGGGCTGTGTGGTTTCCCTGGGGAGATGTGAACAAGAGTTGTCTACTCCACACCAACCCACCAAAGCAATCAGTCCTGCAGGATTGGAGTACCCAGGCTTGGGTCAGCCTGCTAGGTGGCGGTCACTGGGACCAAGAAGTCAGGAGGTTGTCTTTGGGCCAGGGGATGGCTGGGTGACTTGGCTGAGAGGAGGCTCTGGCCATGGAAGCTGAGCCATCCAGCAGCTAGGGAGCCTGTTGGTGCGTTGGCCCCTTGGTGGGGGGAAGCAGGGTCTCTTTGAACCCCAAGCAAGACACAGGCCACTCCTGTGAGCTGGGATCCAACTGGCAGCCTAACATGGCCCACAGATGGGAGGACCCTGGAGGGAGGCTTTTTTTTTTTTTTTTTGGATTTTACGAGACAGGGTTTCTCTGTATTGTTTTTGAGGCTGTCGGTCCAGCCTGGCCTCGAACTCACAGAACTCCGCCTGCCTCTGCCTCCCGAGTGCTGGGATTAAAGGCGGGTGCCACCACCGCCCCGCTGGAGGGAGGCTTTTAAAGCCAGTCCTGCTCAGTGGGAGCCCGTGCAGAGCAAGGTTGTTCCAAGAACTTTGAGACATTGATTCACAGCAGGCTCACAAAACACTGTTTGCTTACAAGGGTGCGCACCAACCCTTCTCACTCACTGGCACACGTTTTTCTCCCATTCCACCCTTATCTCCCCCCCCCCCAAGTTCCTCTCTGGCCACACGCCAGAGCTTCTGGGAGATGGAGCCGGGACAAGGGACTGGAGTAGCTGCACCACCGTCCCAAGTTAGGTGGTGTGACACACCAGACAGGCGTGTCCTCCTGGGGACAGCCCTTACCTACCCCTGGCCTGCTTCTGTCTGCTCTCCCCTCTGGTCCCTCGTGTTTGGTGAAGGACGGGGTGCCCTCTAGTGGACTGTGCTCGGTGGTCCCAGGCTAGCTGCTCAAATGTTGGTTAACCATGGCCCACTGAAGGCTTTCGGGGTTCAGATGCCTGCTCGAGGGTGCAGGTGAATCTAGGTTCCTACTAGGGAGCCTCCATGCGCCCAGAAACCATGTTCTGTCTCTCATGCCGCTGCTGTCTGGGCACTAGTTGGTTAAGGCAGTCCTAGGCCAGTTCCCGCCTGGGGGTCCACACATCCTCACTTCAGTGTGCATTCCCCTCTGGGATGAACATTCTGGAAAATTCAGGTAGAGCTCAGAAAAAAAGAATCTGACCCAACCTGAGCCCCAGTTAAGCAAAGTCTGATATTGCAGTAACGGGATTTTAAAAATTGAAATATGGCTGAGGGTGTAGCTTGCCTGACAGGGTGCTGCCTAGCACGCATAAGGCCCTGGGTTAAAGTCTCACAGCATAAACCAGGTGAGATGGTGCACACCTATAGTTCCTGTGCTCAGAGGGTGGAGGCAGGAGGATCAGAAGCTCAAGGTCGTTCTTAGCTCATGGGGAGTTTGAGGCTAGCCTGGGCTACGTGAGAATCTCATACACAAACACAAACTCTAAATGTGTAGACAATGAACAAACACAGGCATGTTTAGATTAAATAATATATGCTATATACTTGTTTTCATGCCAGGGGTTTGCAACTACCGTGCTACTTATTTTTAGAGTATGGAAATGTGTATCGTTCTAAATCACAGGAGTCTTAAAGTACGGCGAAGGCACCAAGCAATCAGTGCTAATTAGGTTCTTATCTTGGTTAATGAAAATAACTATGGAACTTGTGGGAGAAGTCTGGAGGTGGGCCCTGCATGTAAACAAGGCTGAGTCTGTCTTCAACCCACAGAAGCCTCTGTGACCCGCCCTGTGGGCGGCTTCCGAATCGACTCCTGTTCCAGCCCCCACAGCCTCACTTCCCGTGGCCTCTGGGATTGGTTCTCTGTGCTAAGGCCCAGTGATGTCCAGGGGAGGTCAGCCACCTGACCTGAGTCCGAGGCTCACCCTCTTCTACTTCCCCACAAGCCCTGCCCATGGGACTGTGGGCCGGGTCTGCCATGGATGAACCCAGTCTTCAGCACAACGCCCTGAGCTAGAGGAGCAAGTTCCTCTCTGGCCACACGCCAGAGCTGCTGGGAGATGGAGTTGGGACAAGGGACAGGAGGAGCCACTCCACAGTGCCAGACTAGGTGACACACCAGACAGGCACGTTCTCAGCCTTTGGAGGCTCCATCGTCAGAGTCCTGGTGGATTCTGTATGGTGAGAGCCAGACTCACAGACTGCTCCTGCTTCCACGTCCTCATGGGGGCGGAAGGGACAGCGGGAGCTCCCTGGGACCTCCTTTATAAGGATGCTCATTCCACTCCTGGAGTTCTGCCCTTTACCCTAGTCACCTCCCAGGGTCTCCTGTCCCAATTCATCCCCTTGGATCCTGGTTCCACCATACGGAGGGCCTGGTGTGTTACGCTGGTGAATGCTGGTTTAATGCAAAATGATTACAGTGTTGAATACCAACAGGCCATGGTGGACACCCCCTCATACTGTCAAGGTTTCTGTCCACTAACACCCAAGCTGGCTGATCCAGGGTGTGCTGCAGGTGACTCGCCTTGTGACAAACTTCACAACAGCCCCCTGGAGCACTGGCTCACGTAGGCCTCCTTGTGTCCACCCTCTGCCTCAGGCAGCCCAGATGGGAACTGGGGGCCAGGCCCTGCATGGTGCTGAGCCTCTTCTGTCTGTCCGAGGATGGCACCTTCAGGCCGCCACCTGTCAGGACATTCAGACGTCCCCAGGAGGCTTGGGGGAACTGACACGGGGGGGGGGGGTGCCTCAGGCTCAGACTGTGGCTCTGCCTTTGGGTCAGCTAGGAGGCCTGGGCCACTCACCCCAAATGAAGCAGGAAGGGGCGGGAGTGACACTTCTTGACAGACAGAACAAGTGTGTGTGTGTGTGTGTGTGTGTGTGTGTGTGTGTGTGTGTGTGTGTGTGTCCTGCTAAGCCTCTGGGCAGGAGCCACAACAGCTTGTTCCCCGTGTGCTCCCCTTATTGAAGCCGCTGCTGGGGCTGCAGCAGGTGCGGAGCCAGCGGGGTGAATGCTAATAAGGGGTGAAGAAAGCAATAAGAGTGAATGAGTGGGCTCATGTTAATAAGTGATGAAGGGATGAATAATGAATGACTCTAACATCGTCTAGATACAGCTTTCCTGGGGGCAGGGACGCCTCTAAGAAATTTACCATTTATTTACTTACTACATATATATATATATTTAAAGATTTATTTTAATACTTTTATGCTCTGCCTGTGGAGGTCAGAAGAGGCCATCATGTCCCGTGGAGCTGCAGTTACAGGTAACCATGAGCTGCCTGACCTGAGTGCTGGGAGCTGAACTTGGGTCCTGCAGAAGAGCAGCGAGTGCTTCCAACTGATAAGCCATCCCTACAGCCCCCTGTTACATGTTTTTTCTTTTTTGTTTTTGAGACAAGGTCTCACATAGCTCAGGCTGGCCTTGAACTCATTATGTGGCCAATGATTCCTCTGTATTTCAGGTCCTCCTGCCTCTGCTTCCTGAGATCACAGGTGTGTGCCACCACTCCTGGTCTGGGCAGCACTGGGTGTGCAAGGTGATCAGTCTACCAAGCGAACTGTGCCCCCAGGCCTGAAATTCACCATATTGATCCAAAAAATGTTTACAATTGCCTTGTGACTTGAGCCCTGTGTGATGCACACTTCGCAGACAGGGAAAACCAACACCCGGCGGTTTGTCAAGGTTCCACAGCCCACAGGGGGCCAGGAACCAGGACTTAAGCCAAACTGTCAGCTCAGGGCCATTATCTATCCTGTTCTACAACTCTCGAGCATTCAGGTCAAACCCCATCTCTTCAGACCAAGGGGAGGGGGGTGGGGACTGAAGTAATGAAGACGGCATCAGATCAGTCACCCACTGAGTACCAAAGGGACTCACAGCCCTCTCACCTAGAAATGAAAGTGTAAAGAAGATGTCGCTATGGTCCTGGCATCTGGAGTCCCCGACAGTTCACAGGGGATACAGAGAAATGAAGACAGACAGCCACGCTTGGGGACATTAGTCATCAGTCTGCTTTTCATGGCATCCTAGCCTACACCTGCAGAGGGGACCGCACCCACCTATGGGCTCTCCAGGTGGTCTCCCAAGCAGAAACCAGGGCCAGCAGGTGGGCTCCATAACCAACTCTAAATTAGAGTAATTGGGGCCCAGCTCTGTCTTCCTAAGGCAAAAAGACTGAATTCCAGACTGTCGGCTGGTTAAACGGCACACAGCCACCAGATGACAAGGCAGGGTCTATCTAGTTAAAAGTCTTCGCTTCTACAATGAATAGAAGGAAGCAATTGGCGATCAGGCTTGCCATCGTGTGTGAATGCATCCCTTAGGGAGGGGACAGTGTAGGGAGAAAGGGCCAGTCAAAGAAACACATCCTGAGCAGAGCCAAAGAAACACACTTTGTCCCTGAAACCACAACCAAAGAAATGCACCCTGACCCTGAACCCAATGCCAAAGAAACACACTTTGACTTAGCAACCAGAACCAAAGAAATGCACCCTGACCCTGAAACCAGTGCCAAAGGAACACACTTTGTCCCTGGAATCAGAGCCAGTGAAAGAAATACACCCTGGCCCTAAAATTAGAGCCAACAGGCTAAAAAGAACCAATGAAAGAAACACACTTCGACCCTGAAACCAGAGCCGAA